CCCCTCATCAACACACATTCCTGCCAAACAGATGGTAGTACAAGTTATAGAGTAGTCGAAGCCGTAGTAATATAAACAAAAGCATAGTTCTATCCTTACGGAAGGTGATATCTGAGCTAACAAATGTGTTGGTACCCCCGCCCCTTTGTCAAAACTTTACAATATCCCTCAACCACCACCCCACTACGCCCTTCCAGCACCCCCTCCCCATCACACACACAAACACACACATACATTTATACATGCACACACTCACACCTACGCACACGCATGAACGCACACACTCATGGACACACAAACGCATACGGAGAGAAACCTTCAGAGTACACCGAGGCAACCTTTGTATTGAACTACTGAATAGTAAGGCAAAGAAAGATCATTACCATCTACTTAGCTATAAAACCAAGAGAGCCATGAATTTCTCAAGCATCGATATAAGGTATGGTATGGTATGGCATGGAATGGCATGGCATGGCATGGCATGGCATGGCATGGCATGGCATGGCATGGCATGGCATGGCATGGCATGGCATGGCATGGCATGGCATGGCTTGGCATAGCATGGTCTAGTGGTATGGTATGGTAAGGAAATGTATGGTTTTAACACCTCCTTTGACACTGCAAGGTTATCTAAAACGCAGAACTTCTGATAGGGCTCAAACAAATAGGCTGAGACCATTGGAAATCCTATATGCAACTTACGTACTGAACACCCATTGGAAATTCGAGTCAGGACCATCAGCATCGTAGTCTAACATTAAACAAGAAACACCGTATGTTTGCTTTTTACGTCTTATAACCTAAACTTACAAACTTACAAAGTATTAGTGTATCCAGCAGTTTAAAAAAATATATTTTAAAAAATCAAGACAAAAGGACGTATTCACCGTTTGTTGGGGTATGAGATAAGACCCCTTATCGGCTCAATCCTTTCACTCACTGCAATCGGTATTTCCACATTTGAACACGTTACTTGACATAAGCGACTTCATAGCAGGACATGAATGGAGGATTATCATACCACAAACGCCATCTTCCACAATGGGAAGGAACTGTTGTGACAAAGTAAGCGTATGCGCCAATCTCAGAAAGCACAGAAGAAGAAATAGAGAAATTTTATGATGAAATAAACCAAGCAAAGACACATTGTAAATCACAAGTTATTGTCATAGTCATGGGTGATTTTAATGCAAAAGTGGGAGCAACAAGACATGAAGACATAGTGGGTCCATATTATGGACAGGGAACCAGAAATGAAAGAGGAGAAAAACTGATAGAATGTGCCATCCTGAATGACATGATTATTGGAAACACTTGGTATGAACAACCACCAAGAAGATTATGGACCTGGAAGAGTCCTGGAGACAGCGCTCGCAACCAGATCGACTATATCATGACCAAGAAAAGATACAAAAACGGGATGCTAAATGTCAAAACGTGGCCAGGTGCAGACTGTTACAGTGACCATGTACCCGTAGTGGGAAAATTTAGAATCAGATTGAAAAAACCCCCACACATGAGCAAGAACAAGAATATGAAACTAAACATGGCATTACTACAGTCAAACAAAGAAATGCAAGATAAATTCAGAATGACTGTACAAAACAAATTCGGGCCCTT